CCGCGAATTCAACCATGAGATCTTTGTTGACGTACTGTATATCATCGAGCGCCATGTGTTGCACGTTATTGACTCAGCAACTTCGTTTCAAGGTGCCCGATTCCTCAAATCTTTATCAAGCAAAGAAACGTGGGAGACACTCCGTATGTTATGGATTGATACATACCAAGGTCCTCCCGATATCATCACAAATGATGCCGGTACCAACTTTGCTTCTTCAGAGTTTAGGAATGAGGCCAAGATCCTTGGGATCACATGTAAACAGGTACCAACCGAGGCTCATTGGTCAATAGGAAAGATAGAACGATACCACGCTCCTCTTCGCCGTGTTTTCGAGATCCTACATGCTGAGCTATATAGTACTACAAGTCCAGAAGCAATACTACAAATGGCAATCAAGGCGATTAACGATACGGCTGGACCAGATGGTCTTGTGCCAACACTTTTGATTTTTGGCGCATATCCTCGGATGACCGTAGATTCACCACCATCCCCATCAACCTTGAGGCGAACCGAAGCAGTTCAGAAAGCCATGAAAGCCTTGCGGAAACTCAACGCCGACCGACAGATAAATGACGCTCTGAATACTAGAAACGGACCTTCAACTCACGAGATTCTTTCATTGCCTCTACAAAGTGAAGTACGCGTTTGGCGTGAGAAAGATGGCTGGCAAGGTCCCTACAAGATTATCGCGACCAACGGCCATGATGTAACTCTTGACATGGTGAATGGCCCAACAACCTTTAGATCTACGGTGGTTCAACCATACTACCGGAACTCCGGTGAACGTGAAAACTTAGAACCTCAAAATCATCTCGAAGATCAATCCACTAATGATTTTCAGCCTGAAATTCCGATTATGAAGCCTCAGCCACGCAAAAGAGGTCGTCCCTTGGGCTCAATGAACAAGTCGAAGAATGTAAGTGCGGCATACTTGACTAAAAAGGAGGAAGATGACTATGCTCTAGCTATCAAGTTGAGAAACGATGGTGTAATCACGTCACCTGAACCTCCCTTCGAAGAGTCGGATTCAAATGAGATAAATGATCTAATCAGTCGTGGTGTATTCAAATTTGAACTGTTTAATAGCAAGATCCATGGAAACCACCGAATTTTTAAATCACGAATGGTACGTGAGGTTAAAGGCAAAACAACCAAGCCCTATGAAAAGTCTCGCTTGGTAATACAAGGGTACAACGATCAAGCTAAAAGTACCATCCTGACGCAATCACCAACCATCCAGCGAATGAGCCAACGTTTGATCCTTGCTCTCGCCCCCTCATTAATGATGAAAGGAATGATCATCGCAATCAGGGATATCACACAGGCTTACCCTCAATCACATACCAATCTCTCCCGTGTCGTCTTAGCAAGCTTGCCCTCGGAACTTAAAACAAAGTACCCTGAAGGAACTATTATTCGTGTAATTAAGCCTCTGTATGGAATTGCAGAAGCAGGTGTTCACTGGTTCTCTACTTACCAAGGTCACCATAGGAAACTGCTAGACATGTCCACTTCGACATTTGATGAATGTTTTCTCATTACAAATGGAGAAATAGATAAATTTGGTATTGTGGGAATACAGACAGATGATACCCTCATGTTATGCACCAAATCTTTTTCTGCAACAGAGGAGGAGAAACTTACTGAAGCTCAATTCCGAGCAAAACCTAAGGTGATTCTAATGGCCGAAACACCTTTAGAATTCAATGGAGCAAGAATTATCTTTGAAAATGACGCAATTATCGAAATCAGAGGTATATTGAGCAACGTGCCCGAGGAGCGTATATTCCCTCCATATGTCAGCCCGAGGCAGCTTTCGATATGTCGGTAGCAGCACAAGCCAAAGATCCGGACGAAGTGGAATACACTGCTTTAAACCGGCGACTCAAATGGCAAATAAAGAACATACAGCGTGGATTACGTTTCGTTCCAATTAACTTGGCCACGGCTAAGATAATGGTCTTTACGGATGGATCATTTGCTAATAATAAGGACCTCAGCTCACAACTTGGATTTGTATTGATACTTGCTAATGAGGATCAAATCGGATCTAAGACCAAGGTTCGAGGTAACCTTATTCACTGGAGTTCGACAAAGTGTAAACGAGTCACCCGCAGTGTGCTAGCCTCTGAAATCTACGGAATGGTCAATGGCTTTGACATTGGTCTTGCAATCGCATCTTCTTTAAAGATGATAACCGAACGTCTTAATCTTCCTGAAATGCCTCTAGTTATATGCACTGATTCTTACTCGTTATACGAGTGCTTGGTAAAGTTAGGTACTACTAAGGAGAAACGCCTAATGATTGATATTATGGCGCTTAGACAGTCTTATGAACGAAGAGAGGTTGCGGAGATTCGATGGATCAACGGGGAAGATAACCCTGCTGATGCTTTGACAAAAGTGTCACCGAATCGTGCCCTGGAACGATTCATCGATAATAATGAGTTAACGATTCGAATTGAAGGATCGGTAATAAGACCGTAATATTAGTCAGTAAGATATGGCAGACGGGGGCTTTCTATTCAGTGCTAGTTCATAAAGAAAAGATTGCCGGTGTGGGTTAATAAGCTTGGTCAAAGCTCGACGGAGAGAGTATCCATCATGACGTCAAATATTATCACGTGTTCTAATGTTAACGATTACTCTTGTATAACTTATGTAGATGATGGAAGACGTAGAGGAACACATATACATTTTCGAATAACCAACCTGACATTTGTCGACCCTTGTGATATCACATTGTAAGACCTTCCAACAATTATTATTATTATTATTATTATTATTATTATTATTATTATTATTATTATTATTATTATTATTATTATTATTATTATTATTATTATTATTATTATTATTATTATTATTATTATTATTATTATTATTATTATTATTATTATTATTATTATTATTATTATTATTATTATTATTATTATTATTATTATTATTATTATTATTATTATTATTATTATTATTATTATTATTATTATTATTATTATTATTATTATTATTATTATTATTATTATTATTATTATTATTATTATTATTATTATTATTATTATTATTATTATTATTATTATTATTATTATTATTATTATTATTATTATTATTATTATTATTATTATTATTATTATTATTATTATTATTATTATTATTATTATTATTATTATTATTATTATTATTTTTTTGATTTTGATTTCATTTAGCCCGATTTGGCGCCTTATGGCCCATGCAGGTGTCTACGAACTCTAATATTTATATAGGAGGAAACCTTTATGGTAAAAACCCCCTCAACTTCTCAATTTATATACACTTTAAGTTTGTGTTACCTTCGCGAAGTGCACTAATACTGTTTTATCCAGTGTGGATACCGTCCACTCCCTTATTTGTGGCAAGAGACCAATTCTCCTTGCTGACCTCTCTCTCACTCATCTTGGCCTCGACTTCAAGCGTCAGTCGAAACTGCTCTAGCCTTCCTTCCTGCTGGATCCATCTAGTTATCCTTGCAATATCCGTAGGATTGTTCATCATGGCCTCAAATGACCGGTTCTCTGCCTTTCTCAGTATTTCTCCTCTTCCTTTGGCCCAGCTGGTGCAGGCCATGACCATATGCTTCACATTTTGGGACGGATATCCACATTGGCATCGTGTACTGTCTACTCCCGGAACTATTCTTCTGTGCAGATAGGAATTGAACCCAATGTGTTCGCTTCTTATCTGTATAGCTATGCTGCTCTGGGCCCTGTTAAGGTGTTTATGGATACTAGAAGGTGTTCCTCTTTGGCTCATTCTTGTCTTTCCCGTCTTTTCATCTGTAAAGAGGTTTACTGCGTTTCAGATTTTGGGATCTGCTGTGGCGTGGTGGTTAGTAGTTTGCCTGGCTGTTAGTCTCGTCCAGGATCGTTCCTATTCTCTAAAAGCTGCAACCTTCCCAGCCGCTTTCTGTCCTACTTTCGTCTCTATATTCTCACATGTTTGACCCCACTCCGCAATATCCAGGGTCCTCGTGACAGCTCGTACATGTTGCCTTCCTGCTCGGGGTTGCTTTATCTTCCTGCATGCTGACAATATCGTATCTTGAACAGGTAGGCTTTTTGATAGTCCGGCGTGTTGGACCTTCCTTTGTTTTAGATAGATTTCCATCGGCAAGGTAGAGGTCTCATGCTCAAGTACCTTGCTGCTGGTCGAATTATACGCACCCGTGACGATCTTGAGGCACCTTCTTTGGATACTTCGAAGTGGCTTGATCACTCTTTCAGGAATTTTGCCGGACATTCCAGGCTCGGCCCAAATTGGGGATCCGTAAGTCATAGCTGGTCTCACCACTGCATTGTACACCAGTTTCGCCTTGTGGAACGGTGCACCTTTTATTTTAATTTTTGTTTTTATTTGTATTTTTATTTTCGTTTAGCCTGATTTGGCGCCCTGAGGCCCATGCAGGTTTTTATCGGAAGATTTGTACTTTAAGTAGGATGACTTAATTTGATATTTAGAATACTCGCACTCAGATTTCATTTGCAGATACCACTCGAGGTTAACCCTCAAGGCGTATAACCTCTTCCGTGCATACCCACCACAGGGAAAAGCGTGAAAACTCTTTGGTTATCCGAGTGTACTTTCACTATCCCCCAAGTACAACGTCACGGAAAGAGAGAGTGTGGTGAGTGGGTTTAGTTAGATTTGAACCAGCTTTCTCATGTCTCGAATGGGGTAGGTATTCAAGCTACCCAATATCTACTTGGGAAAACAGCCGGGATGGCGTACCATTGCACCATCCAATCCGACACGTGTACACATATATCTCGCACATGACTCCTATTTAATATGAAGATGCTTCCGACTACATTCACAATGCCCATATCTACTCTGGGCTTGTCACCCCTAACTATATCGGTCCTATCTTCTAATTAATGCCCTTTTCGCCCTTTTATCTTAAATGACAGGTCATGATATTCTTCGTCTTGCTGGCCATCATCAAGCTCAGAGTTATGGACAGATTAAATCTTTAACAGAAGGAGTTCTAGAGCCTGGCCTAGAGAGGGAGCTGCGAAGACGATGCCAGATGGTACCCAGCGGTTGTCCTCGATAAGCTCTGGACATTCCAAGAGACTTCTTAGCTTCATACGGAGGAGAAGAGCGTTTTCGTGCCGAAGGAAGTGGTCCAGTTCTAAGCGGACCATGACTCTCGAATCAACTCTGGATTTTAGTACCGTAGGTCTAGCTTTTTTTGCAACCTTGAATTGTAGATCTGGGGAAGGCAAGCCTATTTCAGAAATTTTGGCGTAGGATAAGGTAGTTGCCGGAGCAGGCAGAGAGCCTGTCTTTGCAATAGCATCGGTTTGTGGAGTAGTATATGACTGCTTGAAAACTAGAAGACCAGCAATAACTCTAGCAGCGGTACGGGTCACAATTGCTTTTAAGTCTGCTGCGATGGCTGGAGGATGAGTACGCAGGTGTTGCGATCCGGCATTTTTCCACGCCAACAATGATGCAGCGATGTTATTGATCATGGCCGCTGTGGGACTACGAATAACGCGTGGTGATGGGATATTCATTGACTGCAGCTCATCTAGCTTGTACTTTGGCAGCCGCGTGTGTAGAGCTAGATAGACCTTTAATAGAATTTGTTTGAGGTCTTTGATTCGAGGGGCTTCTGGTTGTTAGTTGTCACCTCGATCGCAGGTATCGAGACAGGAAGACAGTCGACCTCTGATTCTGAGTCTATTAGAATTGATACGGCTAGAAATTGTTATCTCTCAGCGACGACTGTCCTAATGGCCTCCTCATTTACGGTTGGAAGTGATGACTTGAGCTTCACGCACTTGGCGGCACGCATGATAACGATCGCGGGAAATTTACACTCAACTGGCTTTTTGCGCCTACTGTGAGGCATGCTGTTTTGGTGTCCTAGTAATCGAGTTTGTAAATCTACTCACAATACAGGAGCATTCAATAGGGCATGACCCTCATCATCTATTGGCAAAAATTAAGCACAACAATATACAAATTTTCTATTAACTTTAAAGCTATTTAGATAGTTTTAGCTGTCCTTCATAGTCATAGACTCAGTAGGGACATAAATAAAATTCTATTCTATTCTACAGGAGCATTATTAGATCACGTGTAAAGAGCCAGGGAGTCTGGAACAGGCATTGAAGTTATAAATTGCTGAAGCTTTCCGCTCCTAAATTCCTCATATGAAATATAAAAATTTAATTGTGGCGTTGCTTTTGTGCATTGGCCGAAAGTCCTAGCCCGTCGCAATACCTGTTAGGAGTGTTCCTTTCAAACCTCAGAGTGCAAGAATCTATTGAGCATAGGATGTTAATATTTGTATAGATAGAAATGGGGCATCTCTTTCAAAATTTTATCGGGTATGAGCTAGACCCAACTTTGACCTGGGCTCCTTCAATTCACTCATCTTTCGAAATAATGTATAGTCCTTCGGCATTTCGAGTTATTTTTCATCGTCACCAAAAACAAAACTACGCCAAATCTCACTGTCTCTGGCTTTTGAAAAGCAGCTATCAGTAGAGTTTTTCTGGGGGACTACGAGTTGCTGACCAATAATTTTAGGTTTCTCCATAGATTCTCTTGATAGCTGCTGCTTCGGGATGTCGAATGGAAAAATTGGGCTCAAAGCTTTTACAGATGGTGTTACTGATAACAATCTTTCTTTAATATCAGGCTCTATACCAAATTCATGGCCTACTTCTGCATGTTTTGATCTCATTTTAGCTCGCGATAATTTTATATTTTCCTCATACAAACTGCCCTTGAAAGCTAATTTTTCGTCACTCTTCCTTCTTGAGCTTGTCATAGCTCTTTCAATATCTCGCGCAAACAAAGTTTCATTTGATAGATTATCGCTTATTAAAGTATCTTCATGATACTTTAGGCTATGGTGCAAATTTGAATCTAGAAACTTACGGGGAGCCCCGAGAGTTTCAGTTTTTTTGGGTGTGTTGCTATTAAGCAGGTAAAAAATTCTTGAGCTTCGAGGAATGGGATGTCGGAGACTAGCGGAAGAAAATGAAATACAAGCTTGCCCCAATTGAGCAATCTTATAGAGGCTCACTGAGCAATTTTCGTCTTTGAAGTCTGATGGATATACCGTTTGCGGATCAGGTCCTTGAGAGTTGTTAGGGTCTTTTATCCGTGTTTTTACGGCCATTTCCATTTTATTTTTTGAACTTGAATGGTGGATTACCAATTCCTTCTGATTTTCATTATCATCTCTTTCTTCATGATGGGCTAAATCATCTCTGGCACTTGTTTTTATGTCATGAGACTTGCTCTTTAATGCTATACTTCTGGAGGTTTCGCATGTAGTTGTCTGAATTATGCTTTCATTTTTGTCTGATTTTGCATTGCTAATATTTGGTTTCGTGTCTTGATTTCGGATTGAAGCTATATCAGATTTACTCGATAAGCCCTTAGACTGGGCGCAAATATTTTTTGTAATAGGTAATTTTATTTGTTTTTCATCCCGTTGATATGTGATACTTTTGAATTGCAAATTTGATTTCAGAGTTCCATGTTCTTTCATTGAGTTTGATATCGAATGGTTTGATGACTTTGACTTTAGTGGCTTAATTCCAACCCAGTCTTCTTGCTTAATAATCCTTTGTTTCTTGGTGGGAATCTCCTCTTGCTTTTTATACACGTTCGATTCATTACTAGACACTGACTGAGGCGCGTATGTCTTGATTTTTTTCATGGATGACATAGTGTGGTGTTGACCAGCATTTAGTTTCTCTAATATTTTATTTCTTTCAATGCTTTGGAGGATACCATCCTTCTCGGACACATTACTAAGCTCTGTACAAAATGATGCCAAAGGCTTTGAGCTGGACTCAAGCTCCAGATTTGTTAGCTTATCAGGATTCGAATTTGAGTCTTTGTGTACCGTACACAAGTCGAGCGATTCCCAGCTGAGTGGCGAAGCTCTTTTAGCTTGCTTGCGTATATTATATTTAGCCTTTACAAAGTGTGATATTTTCCCATTTTTCATTGAACATTTTGTGGATGAATTTCGTCGAAGACGCTGTCCGGTCCAATTCATGATGATGTTACGATTAGCTTGGGACCCGAATTTATAGTTATGACATGAGGATATAAAAAGTGCAACTTGGGGGAGGTCATTGGATGATATTCTGCTAATATATAGAACATGATGGAATGAAAGAAGGAAAGGACAATTGCGAAATAATAATACTAATATTAGATTCAGCTTGAAATGAACTAGGGGAGACGACAAGAGAAGTAACGTTGGAATTCAAGAGGTTTTACTTGTCTTCCAGGGAGTCGTTGTACAATAAACCTGCATGGAATATTTCCCAAAATAAGAAGGTGCTTGCTTTGTGTAAAAGGTAGTAGAGCTTGTTTTGATCACAAAAAATCTACACATCGACAAATGTTTACGAATTATTGGCATAGTAGCAGCTATACTACAAACTAGTCCTCGCATTCTGGTTACTAAAGGATCAGTTGCTACCACGTGCGCTTTCGTACACATATTTCAAGCACTCGATAATTCCGTTCTAAGTCATCTATTACACACTCCTCTGATATTATGTCATAGCTAGATAGCCGCATGCGCAATTAAAATCTGATGCAAAAAATTCCGCTCCAAATTAAGGTTAGATATGTACACACTGTGCGCTTAAGATCATTCAAGACGTGTTTTGAGGAGTATTTCAACAAGCCGTAAGAACATATTTGAGCCCCAGATTTCTATCATCTGTCTCTTCTGGACCTCTTGCTTCAAGAATACGATTGGTAGATCCATTTCTTTTCAGACTCGCTCATGCTTGAAAATCGTAAACCTTGATTAATTGTATTTTACACAGTGAGAAAGGTAGTTTTGTCTGTAGAAGACTATGAGCTTCAAACTGGTACTCTCGATGTTTTATCCAGCTACCGGAGCGGTCATTTGCAAACCTAGTTCCACAATTAATGCTCAAGTTTCTTTGCTGGATCGATCCATTGCTCTCAAGCTTATTATTCATTTTCATTACAACAATTACAACGTGACCTGACTCATAATCGATCCATGGTGGCCGCGATACCATATTTCCCATGTCGCTAGATAGGCTCAGACTGCAAATGATTTACATGGTCTACGAGTATTCCGCCATTCTCTTGGTGGGTGGACAGAAATCGATATAGTAGCTTTTTTACATGGAGATGAACGCTAGGCTTGGTGGTGTAATTTACCATAGTCTGGGAGTATATCCTGAGATGTAATAGCAGCTCGCTATGGATGCGACTATGATAGTTCACTTGCGGGTGATGTGGAAGTTTGTGTCTCCATTGAATACAATCATTGCCTTAGTTATGTTAGAAAAATTAGGTCACAGTTCTATGTGAGCGCGTAACCATACTGATTTAAAGAGCGTTTTGATTTTATTTCATAACCTGATTTGGCGAACTATGGGTCCATGCAGGTGTCTACAGTTTTAAAACATTTACTCGGGATGAAGCCTTTCCATGAAGACCCCCCAAACTTTTCTATTTAATGTCTGTAATCTTCCTCTTTGTCCTTCAGGAAGCGCAGTTACATTTCAATGTTATTCACACAATCCAACCATAATCTCTTGATCAAAGCCAAGAGCTGCCCGCCCTATCCCTTATTCTCAGCAGTATATCGACCGTCTTTGCCATCTAAAATCTCTCCATGTCACTTTGATCTAAGATTCGCTGTGTTCTTGTTTTGATTTGGCAACAGTTATTTACGATTGCTTCGAAAGATCGATAATTGCCTTGTCTCCAATCATCATCCATACCATTTGATCAATTGTGGCAGGGCATATTCATATGCTTGGGGTTCTATTATTGCTAACCACATAGAAGGATTGGGCTGTAGGCTCCTGGGACCTTTCTTCTACATCAATCAGAGTTGAGCCCCATATGCTCACTTTGAATCTACTTTGCCAAATCTCTGTAAGTTCATATAAGGTTTCGATGTAGAGAAAATGGTGAGTTTTCAATGATTAGTTTTAGTCGTTCAAATAATCCATTTTGATGGAACTTACCTACTCGCTAGGTATGGACATTGTGAAAGTAGTCGGAAGCATCACCATCATATTGAAAAGAAGTCAATTGCGCGATATATACATGTGCCCTATCCCTGGCCACCAATCCCTCCTCAAGGCCTTACTTTCGTGGGCTTGTTTACTCGCTGATAGATAGCACATGATAGGATCTGATAAGGGCTTCTCTAGCTACCGTTGTAGTTTATTATAGCGACATCTCCCCTCGTTTCCAGCGTCAAAGGTGTATTTTTAAGGGAGGGGAGGATAACTCAGCTCCATGATGAAAAGACGTTATCCAGTTTCGACATCTGCCTTTTCACAGGATATCCTGCTGACAGGCGTTTTGTCTTTGCGCTACGATTTGAGGTGTTAAAGGTACGAAAGACAGGGTGATGTACGAAGGGGAATATGTTCGGGCGACCGGGTAACAATCCTGTTCGAAGAGTTCTACCCACGTGGATCAGAAGAGAGGTGGTAGAAATGGGTCTTTGTCATACTCCCATCCTCTATTTGTGGGGGCTTGAAGCTCAGGAGCCATGGCGAAATTCATAGTGGGGTTGAACTCAGCATCTCTGATGCCGTAGCTTCTTGTTCAATATGTTTATGGTCAGCAACTTCCTTCATCCAACTACACATTGGTGGAGGTTCATGCGCTGCGAACGGGCTAGTCAATTATTTCGTTCTCGTCAGCCCTATTGGTCAAGTATCCAAGAGTTGCTCGAGACAACAGCTTAGATCTTCAATGTTTGAAAAACATTTAGCCTGAGAACTCTGCCCTTCGTGGATCATATATTTTAGAGTGGGATCCTGTAATTCCCATCATGCGTGAATCAAATATCAAGTTTACATGATTTTTTAGACCATGTACCAAAACTCAGGCTCTGACGGTCCATCTCTATTAAAATTGGTCCTAAGCGAAAGCCTGGGAGAGGTGCGGGTCAAGTTCTCTGGAAATTCCATCATCGTATTACCTTTTGTCTAATGTTGCATCTTCTCCATAGGACCATGCCCTTGTAGAATAATGTCATTACTCGAGCATAGAGGATTTCATTATCTCGCCTTCAATTCCTCTGGGTTGAGAAACTATAGACTTAAAGTCCTGAAAAGTGGATAGGATAAACGTGGTGGGAGACCCCTAGCAAGTAATTGTATGGCCGTACAATATGTCCTTCGCTTAGCCGAATCTGTCCGGCGAGCTCTTGGCTTGCTGATTTATTCTGAAGTTTTCTCCCACAATTTCTAAACTACAAAGAAAGCCGATTGTGTCGAACTGCAAGCTTGCTGCACAGGGAGAGGGTGTTAATCGGCAGTTGGTGCAGTCGAGTAGGAAGAAGGAAGGCTGCGGGATATAAACTCAGGAAACGATAGAGTGAGTTAATCATACTCTTTCTGGCATTATATCCTAGCTTCCGACAAGGTCGTCGATGTTATCCCGAAACTATCATAACACCGTTATTATTACACGCACCATTTTTCTTGCGCAATGAATCAATATTCAGGAACCACTAGCCCTCATTCACGAAAATACAAAATCATCATGTCTATAAAATAACACAGATGCACCCCGCTCGATTGAGGGGCTTGACTGGCATTTCAAAGACCCATGACAAAATAACACGACAAAACTTAGAAATTTTACCATTTACCTTCAAAAAAATTGACATGAGAAAAGACTTATCACAACCATAAAAGAGTCGAGGCTCGTTAGTTCCAAAGGAGTGGGAGTGGTGATCACTGGCTCTGGGTGCGATGCTGACCAGAAAGCTTAGGCACGCCATCCAACACAGTAATGTCTTCTCTCTATCGCCGTGCTTGCTACAAGTGTGGAAACGTCGGCCATTATGCTGAAGTTTGCACTTCGGCAGAACGTTTATGTTATAATTGTAAGCTTAGGGCCAACAATACTTAATTCTCGGACTAATGATAGTTTAGGCAAGCAGCCTGGTATGAATTAGGGAAGAACGCTAGCCACTCCCATTTGACTTACAAATATTATAGGTCACGAATCAAATGGATGTCCTCTACCAAGGACTACTGAGGCAAAGCAATGCTATCACTGCCAGGGACTTGGTCATGTTCAAGCTGATTGCCCGACTCTTCGTTTAAACGGAGCCAGCATTAGTGGTCTCTGCTATTCTTGTGGCTTGCCGGGACATCTAGCTGTAGGTTGATGCAAGAAATACTGCTGTCTATTAACTGACTTATCCAAGCGTACGTGCCCAAGCCCTGGTAGTCATCTTGCCGTCTCGGGCGCAGGTAGAAGCTACAGCTCTCCACGAACTGGATTTAACGGAGGATTTAACACTCGAGGATACCTCTCTGGACCCCGTTCAGCTACTTGCTACAAGTGTGGAGGCCCAAATCATTACGCCCGTGATTGTCAAGCTCAATCCATGAAATGTTATGCATGTGGCAAGCTTGGTCATATATCTCGTAGGTTTCAATCCTCATACTACTAGTAAAAGTAGCTAACCAAACAAAGGCGACTGTTCATCTCCAAATGGTGGCTCCCTCAATACATCTGGCAAGATTTGCTATGGCTGTGGCGGTGAAGGTCACATATCTCGCGATTGCACTCAAAAAACCACTGGGAGCAAGCCGACTGTTGAATTGAACACTATGGCTGTTGTACCGACGGCTGTCATCGTTCCAGTTGCATCAATCTCACCCATTGCACCCATCGCATAAATTTCTATTGCGAATTCCCTTTACTTGACCATGTTAATGGTGGAATTTTTGACTACTTCTTCCCGCAGGCGGAGGGTGGTAGCTAAGAATCCTTCATGGCTCTGAACTTGGTAGCTCAGCGTGAATGGCGAACAAGCTGATATAATTATCAGTCAATGTAGAATAGGTTATGAAAAGTTTGTATCGACACCTTGTCTCATAATATTAGACGGACTTCGCATAATTTCTCAATGGCCCATCTTTTTGGTCAAGTCTTCTTGACAATCTTTTTTTGTTAGTAGGTTAGTCATTTTTATTAAAACGCCTCAACTTGTTGCTTAGCTACAGAGATTCTGGAGATAAGAAATATTGTGAAGGCTTATGACTTGACCTGACTTGGGTGCTTTTGACTTGATAAATTCTAATATCTAGCTTTGAGGAACTTGGAGTGATACTTGGCTCGATACAGGCTTAACAGCATATCTTCGGATGTTTAAACCACGCTTAGGGTATGGGAATGTGTAGATAGAACGAATCAAGTTAATACAACCTGTCGTTCCTCTAAAATTCTCAGGGGCCATACCTGGGTTCTTCCTAGTTTATCCTTTGTCAAAGAGCCACAGGTACCTGGCTTTCTCTGGAATATACAATTGTAAAAGATTTGATATGGACCTATCTTCAGGCTGTGGCACTTACTATTTTAACGTAAATTTTTATTCACAACATGGTATTAAAAAACCCTAGACTGATAGAGGATCATCCGGATATTTTCTAAAAATTTCGTAACCATTGAACGAATAAAAGTCTTGACATGTTGCTTTGCCGTATCATCAATTGTACGATATGTCAAGTCGCACTGACACTTAATGCTAGTAATGGGGAAGTATGAGGTCTGTGCGTTAAAGGCTAAGAGTACAGCCAATAGAAGCCAGGACGGAAACTACCCTGTGGCCACGGTTTCAAGTTTGCAGTAGATTTAAATGGGGCGCCTATTCGCTTCAGGGGTAATACCCTTGTTAACGCCTGATTTGACAGAGTAAATGATCCTATTCCTGGATTTCAAGGCCTAAACTAAGGTCACAATTTGATTTCTTGTCACCATCAGTATCATTAATTAATTAATTCATTTTATTGTCCTGTCTGAGTCTATGACTATATAGGACATGCAGGTCCTCTCTGCCCACAGGCCAAGGATACCTATGCCAGTAGTATATCCCCTCCTATGCCTCCCATACAGCTGCCCTCACACAGTACCACCCCTCACAAGTCCTCATTCGATCATACACTAAGAGGAGCCCTTAGCCCTTCATTATCTCCCCTCTCCAGCCAACGAAACGATGGCCATTTGCGGGTGTATGGCAGCTGGGAAAATTCGCAAAAACCACTGGGTGCGGGGCTCTTCTAATACCGACATTAGGAATAAATCCGAAGACATATTGCCCCTTCTGAAGCGTTCGAAGAGGCCGGCCAGCTGGGCGCTGCAGACTTGTGGGTACCTCGGAGAATTCACCCTCTGCCTTTCTAGCCTCCTTCCAACTCCTTCCCGAAGGTCGTGCTGAAATGTCAGAAAAGTCTTGACAGAGCGTGATTGCTGTATAGTAGCTTAGCCCAACTTCTTTTGTACCGTCCAGGGCGCTGGGGAGTGCCGTTGACTCATCGACAAAAGAAGCCCTCCTGGCTAATTAGCCGAAATCTTGGTCTTGGCGCCCACAAAAAATACAAAGTTGAAAACTCCTCGAATATGTTAGTCCCAGCATAGTCTTCAGAGACCTCTTTCCCCTCTCGCTCCACATCTCAGCCGCTTGTTCTTCATCAAGATGTATAACCCCATTAGAGCAGCAGTCCCTCATAAACCAAGACCCCAGCTTTGTATTTTTCGACTTGATTTCCTCCTTGCGGGTATAAATAGCGTCGTAAATATGTAGAGAGTGATGGCCGGTAATGAATGAGGCAGGCTCCTGTTTGCAATTGGGGTGACGCCTTTATCGGTCGGCGAGGCGAGTTGATATGTGGTTAGATCGGGGTTGAGGACTTAGAAGTTAATGATGAGTGCTGCATGGTTGAGAAGTCGTCAAATGGAGATATGCATGTGTTTGCTTTCGACTTCGATTCGGATGCGATTCTTCTTGGCTATCCCAGATATGCAGAGCATACTGAGCGATTACACCGGCACCACTGGAAGGTGAAGAATTCGTCTTTGCCGGCATCAGTATCATTAAGATCAAACCTATTTTCTGGGTTATTTCATTGCTTCTCTGTCCGCCAACAGCTGAAAATAAGAATTACATTCCTCATATATAAATTTGCTTATTCAGCAGACACATGGCTTAACTCCATACTAACCATATTATTCAGATGAATCCACCACAAACTTCACCTACAACACCTCGATTCAAAAAATTATCCATAGATCAAAACATTTTAGCAAGTCGAAAAATTAAATATTAACGAAATAAAATTAAAAGAAAAATTCAGGTTTATTGGCTCTATGAATCTAGCAAAAACCAGACACAGATTGTTGGTGAAAACAGGACTGATCATTTTTTTTTACTGTAGTAGTGGACCTGATCGTTGGTGTGAATTGTATATGTCTATTTCTCTCTCTCCTCTCTATCTAGTTTTATAAACTACTTGTCCAGGGATATGCTGACTAATCATACAACAAAAACCAAATGGCAATCATCCCAGTTGATAACGCCAGTAACCTATCCCAATGTAGCTATCGAAGATGAGTAGTCTTCGCCTACTTAGTACTGCGTGTGGTTCTGTCTGATCGTCACTCCTTCCGACTCTTCGCATTGGCGCCGTTGTAGGTTTGATACATGCTCATCAGCACCATTAATAACCGAACCTCCTTTATGGCTTTCTTGGAATGTTTCATGTGTCAATTGGCCTTAATTTACGCATACGTAAAGTTAGTTTAATGCAAAACGAAAGTAACGAAAGTAAGATCAGATGGTAGGGTCGGAGCCCTACTCGTCACCCACCCTTGATCATGGAGGAAAAGCCATCCGATGAGTTTCCGGAGCGTACCCAGCACCCGATACGGAGATGGTGGATTGGATCAAGTCGACCTCGACTGTTACAAACAAGGGAGATATAGATGAATATGCGCACCTCATGTGGTCCCGGTGTCTAGGCCTCGCCTGGCTGGGGCTGCAGGTTTTTTGAGACTTTTTCCCGCGCACGCAGTTTCCATTGCTACCATTTTTATTTTTTTTGGGTAGAAGGTTCCGTGGAAAAGGTGGCTGAATTCCACGGGTAAATGCTGAGCTGAATGGCTATTCATCAAGGGGAATATATCAATGATCTTTCAAGTAACAAAAGAGGATAGGAGCACTGTACAAGGTGTGGCCTGGGTCAGAGAGGAGCCCAATGTGCTAGATAGTCATAGACTCAAGTAGTACAATAAAACACACACACACACACAAACCTATCCCAATAAATAAAACTACAAAGCTAACATTTCGACACAGATTGCTATGAAACTAGGCATTTCTCGGGGACAATTTAGTTATTCGCTGCGCCGCGGAACTGTCTCCCCCCAAAAGAGAAAAAGACCATCCTCAAGACTGAATGCAAATGATGTTACTCAAATTTTATTTTACGCTGAGTCTTCACCTGAAAACCGCTGCAAAACAATTCTCGAACTCGTCTCTGGTCCCTTCAGATATCTTGGTATTAGCGATCGATTTATACAAAGAGAACTTCAAAAAATAGGTGTCAACATCTGATAGCTTGGAACCTACTGAATATAGTAATAAGCTTCATTTGAAATTGTATGAAATACCTTCTCAGATTAACTTACTCGAGCTTTGATAACCCACGAGGGACATGGTGATCAGGGTGTTCAGAGCTTCAACTTGAGATCTTTTGATCTCCAATACATGTAATGTGCATCATATGTATTTTTGGGAAACTAGTAGAAGATATTCTCTCCCGGAAATAGTTTCAGATTGGTATATAGCAACAAGGCCGGAGAGGAGTTGAGCAGAGATTTCATCAATACCAATTTACTTTACATTTTTCATTTGATACTCAGTGTTTAACAATACGATATCAACGACATGTAGCTCATCTAAAGCCTCCAGAATCTCAAAAAACCTATGAAGACACGCAGAGAATGGGCCGAAGCTCATCTCAATTGGACATATGAAGACTGGACGTCTGTTTTATGGACAGATGAAACTTGGGTAGATGATTGAAGTCATTCTAGAGAAAGGATGACAAGAAGTGTACTTGCATTCCTCTTTAAGGAGATAGTAGTTTAATGCTCTATCATTATGAGCTAGACTTCCCAAGAATACAATGCTGATTGTGTTGGAGAAAAACTGTTAGAAATTGTCAAGGATTTCTAGGAGGAAATATTTCGAACAAGTGTACAATTTCGGACAAGAATTTATTGATAGTTGTATAAGATATCACATGTAATTATCAATAAATTCTTGTCCGAAATTGTACACTTGTTCGAGATATTTCCTAGAAATCCTTGACAATTTCTAACAGACTATGAGACCAACGCTCTAGTCAACTGAGCTGATTAACTTTATTGATAAGTTGTCCTTAGATCGAATATACCTCATTTAATAATACGTTACTTCAATTCTCTGAAACTCACAATGTCTGCTGCACAAATACTGAAGTCGATGAAGGGTGCTCCAAAGTTAGAGAAATCAACATACAACAGATGGAGCACTCATTTTCAAGATACTTTATCGCTATTTGACATTGATAGCTATAATCTGGAGACAAAATTTGAGCTCGAGACGCAGGATACAAAGAGCTCAGAGACTGGCCTTCTTATAACGAGACAAGATAGGAATATACGAGTTGCCTTATCCCAACTTGTACCCGACATCGCATTCCACCTCGTTCATTCCTCATACTCTTCGAAAACTTGTTGGGATAACCTTAAACAGTTCTACTGTCCAAACGCAACTGAAGACGTGGACGAACTATTACAGGATTACTGGGGATTAGCGTTTGAAGATGACATCGAGGTTGATGAATGCGTGCAAAAG